GCGGGAGACACGAGCCGAAAAAACAGAGTTACAGAGTTAGAAAGCGAGTTACGGAGGTGCCTACCCAGGAGGGGTTACCTACCCATGGAATGTAGAGAGATTCAATGTGAGCGACGGACGCTAGTGGGTCCACCCACCTTAAGGTTTCCGTACGTATGTATATATTTGGTATGTGTTGAGTAGTAATAAAATCGGCAAGTGAAACAACTAATCTGCGACTACGGCGTCTACCTCTGCTATCTACGCTGCTGCTGCTAACCTGCGCTAGCGATTTGCGGACAAACAACGCTGGCTACCTTCTACGCTGTCGACGCTAACAGATTTACACGGAGATCTTCAACTATTTCCGCAATCCTCCACCAAATTGTTGTACTCCTATTAGCCTATCTGGGGGGAAAGCTCGCTGGATAATGCCGCGTTTAGCCCCGTATCCTCACCAAATTTATTTTACTGCGAAATGTTGAGACTTCAAGGTTCTCGTAGATCGACAGCGTAGAAGGTGGCAGCGTGTTTCGTTCAGCAAATGGTAGAGAAGTTAGCAGCAGCAGCGAATAGCACGCGTAGAACCGTAAATCGCAGATTAGTTGTTTTCACTTGTTTTTATTACTTACTCAACACAATACCAAATATATACATACGTACGGCCAACCTAGTGGGCTAACTGACTGTCCGTACCTTATAGGACTGATTTCCACGTGACGGCACCGATATGATACTTTTAGAGAAATGTGGTTCTTAACCAACGACATTTAAGCTTATCATATTTAAAAGCTTACCATGGTTAATAGAATGAGGACACCTCTACTAGATAAACACGACATAATTATTATAATTTCATAAAGAAAACGGAATTATACGTGTGGAGATTTCAGAGTGTGTAACTCACAGGAGGCAGTAGACTAGATCAAGATGGTAGATTGAACTCACAGTATAGATGGAATATACCATATAATTTACTAAATAGAGGATGAAAATATAAGATCGCGCACAATAAATAAGTGTCAACCACGCACGTCCATGGCGCGGCCATGCTTGGATCATGCTATCATCGCTGCTGCTAATGGCGGGGAAAACAAGGAGTGTTTACGCATGAAAAAGCGATGAAACCGAAGATAAATAGGATAACTAATTATCTGCGCGTTAGGTATTATTAGTCAGCAAAAGTATAGAGGGATATTGAATAGAATGAACTAGTCTAAGTTGTCGAAAGATGAATATTTAATTTAGAAACGAGTTGCATAAGATGATGCAGATCAACCCGCGTACCAGGCCATGGCCGGTTTGGGCCATGCAAGCAGGTGAAACGTAGCGATGCACAAGCGAACGAAATCGCGCGTGCCAGCTAGGTATATAAGGCGGCCACCGAACCAGCCGAAATCGCAGATGCAGGAGGCGTTATTTTCAAGGGCTAGTTAGGAAGAAGAGGAAGGAGACGAGGGAAGCAGAGGACAAGGAGAGAAAGAGGAAGAGCAGGTTATTCATTTCAGGGCCTAGGTAGGAAGATAGAAGAAGAGAAAGAACAGCAGAAGGAGAAAAGAAAGAGGCGAGTGTTATTTTTCAGGTTAGGTTTAGGGAAAAAGAAGAAGAAGAGAATAAACAGCCGAGACAAAGAGAAAAGAGGAAGAGAGCGTTATTTTCAGGGCTAGGTAGGAAGAAGAAGAAGAAGAAGAAGAAGAAGAAGAAGGAAGAAGAAGCAGAAGGAAGAAGAAGAAAGACGGAGAGGCGTTATTTTCAGGCTAGGTAGGGCAAAAAGGAGAAGGAGAAGGAAGAAGAAAGAAGAGAGAGGGAGGCGGAAAGCGTTGCAGAGCGAGGAGGTATAGAGGCATCAGGTTTTCAGGTAGGTGGCATAACCGGAAAGAGCGAACGGGAGAAGGAATTTAGCGAGGACGGAGAAGAACGGGATTCCGGATAGGTAGAGCCAGGTGCGACCTACGAGGGAGACCCCCTTAGGACTGCCCAGGCTACGCGAGGAGTAGGACGAACGTGAGAGAGGAAAGACGAAAGCCGGCGACAGTGTTACTTCTTCAAATATTAATTCTAGTGGTGATAGGATCCGCTGCATTTACGATATGGCAGAGAATTATTTGTGAACTAGTAGGAATCAGATAAAGCTATACACCGTACTAGTCAACCGAATGCTCACTGTGTTCTGTTCAGCGGTGCTTACACTGTTAACACGCTACGTGAGCATCACAACGAACTGGCAGGACGAACACTAAATCCCGAACAAACTGGGACACGCGTTAACGAAACAGACGTTCTGTCGACCCGTAGTCGGCCACGAACCCTAAGGCCACTACAATAGCATTCTATAACATTAGGTAGACAGAAATAATGTCTACCTAACAAATTTGTCTTGGCATAAGCATAGATATGTGTGTGGTGTGTGTGTGTGCGCGCGCGAGCGGCAGTGTGTGTGTGTGTGTGTGTTGTGTGTGTGTGTGTGCGCAAGCGCGCGTGTGTGTGTGTGTGTGGTGTGTGTGTGGGTGTGTGTGTGTGTGTGTGTGTGTGTGTGTGTGTGTGCGCGCGCGCGCGCGGCTGCGTGTGTGTGTGTGTGTGTGTGCGCCGCGTGTGTGTGTGTGTGTGCGTGTGTGTGTGTGTGTGTGTTGTGTGCGCGGGCGCAGCGCGTGGTGTGTGTGTGTGTGTGTGTGTGTGTGTGTGTGCTGTGTGTGTGTGTGCACCGCGTGCGTGAGTGCGTGAGTGCGTGCGTGCGGTATCACGATGCAGACGGCCTTCAGACGATACAGATTCTGATACTAGCTATAAAACAACGAGTGAAAATGCCTGCTCGTGTTTCACGGTTACTGCGCTTCTTGTTGTGCCGCCAATACTTCCCGCGGGCGATCCCCACGTCCATCGTGCAGTGGTAAAATCCTTGCTAGACATTTATTGCCCTCACGCACTCTCCATGATCCAGATAACGTCACACGTTCGTTCTGTCTGTTGTGCGCATATATCTAACATTGATATAAAGCGCGTTTCGTTGTTATTCACAGTGCGTGAGCTCCAATGAAATATTTTATTTTGGATTCGTTTGAGTTGACGTGTGTACGTCAGTGTACTCTGTCCTTCCTACATGTTTTATCCCTGTACTTGTCGAGTAGATAAGAAGCACAGTATCTGCGAAGATACTACGTACTGCTGTTTCGAGATATAATAGGAATAATGAAGTAATTAAGGTGACACAAAAGAAAAGAAAAAGGTGAAACGAATAGGTATCCGTAGAAAATAACTATTTTTTCAAACTATTTACTAATATTGTAAATCTCCTAATTTTCGACTAAACCGTTTGCATATTTGTACATTGCAATAGTTTTCGCAAAGATTGAATACTGTGCCAAAGACAATCTCGTATCCAAGTGTTTATAGTATGTATAATAGCTGTGGCATCGTGTGGGGGTAACGACACACATGCTGTGAGAGTGAAGAAAACGTGTCGCTATTATCTCCAGTACCCCTTTCGTTTTCAACTATAAATGTTTTTTACGTGTACTTAAATATATAAACTATCTGTATTGCTGGGGCAGGAAATAGACATTTTTATTTAACAAACAAATTTATTATAAAAATAACAGATAACCATCACGCGAAAGGAAGTCACGCGTACCCGTGCGCTATTGCCCGCAGAGGGAACGTGATCGAAAACTAGATTTATATATCAGGGAAATCCATTCGTGGAACAAGAACGTCAATTCGTTGATTGCACCTATCTCACAGTCATAGCTAAACAGAAGACTATCATACGAAGTGATTTGCAGATGAACTAAATTGACGGGTCAATGAGTTCTATTGCAAGGAAAATATCAACATCAGTTCAAAGCAGACGCGAATTGACGGTTTGCCAAATCGACTTCACATTATAAAGTCAATATTAAATTCACAAATAAGGCCATTAATTAAAATACTTTTTTCACTAGTATATATATATATTTATGTAACGTTTGAGCCAGTCACGGCCTCAATGTGCGCCACAGATTCGATTATAGATCCACACGCGGACGCGAGCAGGAACGGAGACCACAACAACAAGTTTTGTATTCAATCCGGGAACGCCCGTGCTTTTATTAGCGTACCGACCGACAGACCGGTAGCTATAAACGCCATACAAACTTGGGTTGAATGCCCAGAAACAGTAAACACAGTATATACAGTATCAAACCATACGGCCCGAGATCTCAACGTGCCTGCGTGCAGGGACGGTCAAGCCGTCAGCAAGCACCAGGCAGAGGGTGAGTCGGGGAATAAAACGTAAACGTTCTCTTACCACTCGTTGATAAGCCTTGCGTTGTGTACCATGGAGCAGCTGGCGAGAGACGTCAGTGCCCATGCCACTGTTACTGCGAGAAGCAGTGTAAACGTCTATTTTATACGTTACATGAATTAGTCAGTGGAGCTAGACGGGTAGTTGTTTTATCCATAGACAGACTAGACTAGACAGAACGTCGCGCGTATTGGGCGGCGGCATTGATGTTACAGGCAGTTGGGTAAGCGAGTTCTAGGTTAGGCAGTTTCTAGGGTGATTGTGAAATGAGGGGAACGGTTGGAACTGGACAAGACGGGTGACATGTGCTCTCAAGATGTAGGGAGTTTTGGGCGAATATATAGGGAGAGATGTAATAGATTGTGGGATGAGAGATTGGAGATTGGGGCTGGTGCTGGTCGCGAGAGTACGCGCACGTGCGACCGCGCGTGTGCGCGGGTCTTTGTCTGTTTGTGCGATTGTCTGATGAGGTGGCTACACAGTGTAATTATGATATTAACAGTTATACAGTTGACCACACAAGTTCTGGATTTGGATCTACTTCTACATCATTTCTACATGAACGCTCATTCCAACGTTACAGCAGCAGCTTATATACCCATAATAGTCACGTGGCTACCCCACGTGACCATCCCTGTAAGATTCAGGATTCGAGTCACCTGACGGAAGTGAATCCCTACCCGCTATACTTGAATCACCTTAGGACGCGGGTCATGTGACGTAGGTGAATCCTCAATAGATGTATGGTGCAACATGCACAGTCGCAAGCGAAACCAGATGCAATACTCGCGGTATGTTCACTATTCTACATGCTACGGTGGAGTTTGTAGAAGTAGTTTATTGTTGTATGGTGGATTGGACACCTTGATGCCATACGTATACGTGTTGTTAAGTTGTTCGGGTAGCCAAATATATTATATATTATTGAATATTGATGAAGTGCTATAAAAAGCAATGTAAATTTCATGTAACGAAATCGAAAAGTATGCATAACCAAGAACATTTTCCGTTCTTGTTGTAATCTTTAATAGGCTCCTAATATCTATTTTTTCTTATAGTACTTGCATGGTTATACTAGACGAAAGCCTATATCGATTAAAGTATATAATTTGTTTTTCGTTATTCGTTTTAGCTATAAATGTATTTTCGTCAGCGAATTGTTTTTCTTTGAAATTAGTTTTTCTTCTTTATGCGGTTTCGGTTAAAGCGAGCTAAAACATTATCTGCGACTACAGCATAGGAAGATCTTGTCGCGAATTTAAAACATTTCTATGTTATTCTATTCTATAATTTCCTACATTAGACCAATTAAATATGTTATCACATTACCCGTTAGATGTACGTCGGGCATTCTCTCAATTCTTCCAAACTAGTTTATTGTTTTAATAGTCGTATCGTCCTATTCCTTCTTAAAGGTCCATTTCGTTTTACTATTAATTTTAAACCGAACAATATGTAGTTAAATGTGGCACAACTTGATTCTTGGTCTCTACTTCCAATTGACCTATTCTACTTGCAGGAGGAAGAGCGACCTGATTGGATCGAAAACATGTTCGGAGTACCTTCACGCTAGCACTAATCTTCCAGGCATGTTCAGTTCTTAGTTAGTCTTTATTAGTAACAACCACAAGATAATAATTATGATCAATATGAGGATTAATATTATGAGAGAAACGGAAAAAGACATGGAAGGGGAATCAGGCACGTGTGCAACTAACAGAGAAAGATATAATAACAGACTAAGATATTATTTACTGCAAAAATCTTATATGCATGTCACAACTCAGTGATTAATTAACTGTCTCTGCGACATATGTTAAGGTTAGGTTATATGTTTATGGAAGGCCGCCCGATAACAAAGACCATTTTAGGTCCGACTGGTCGCTCCATTTTAGTGTAATAATTGCAAAATCTCCATCGTGCGGGAGGGTGAACAGTGAACACCTCCCTCCCACACCCTCCCCTCGCTCGGTCGCTTGGCTCCCTCGCCTGGTCGCTTCGCGCCCGAGCAGGGGCGTGTACAGGGAGGGTCTAGGGAGTCCGTACCCCCCCTTGCTCGCGCAGAAAACTGGACACAGTTCACAGGAGCAATGACAATATTAATTTTACTCCATAGGCCCAAAATGTTGCCTTTCAATCTTGGGGTTTAACCCTAGTCTATGTAATTTGAATTCTTATTGAGTGGCAGACCTCCCAACCCTTCCAATTTTGGCGGAAAATTTCCGCTTTCTTATTCCATTTCCGCCACTACGATTTTCCCCTTTATTTTCCCGCGAAACAGCAATTTCCGTGGATAGCATTTATTTACAATCCTAGCGCACTACAGTAAAATTAGAAGTTTGGATAAGGATCAGAAGTGCTCTGCAAGTGTGTTTATTTCTCCGTTTAAGGCATACAGAGGCTTGATTTTTCACCTCAAAAATGCTAAAAGCTCATAGCTTCCGGGGGCTTCGCGGCCTGGACACCACCAGTGGCCGTAATGCTGGTCCCGGGACCCCACCCATTATTTCTCGCGCTACGCGCTCGAATTGGCGCTACGTGATCACAACATTTTGCCCCCCAACATTTCCCTTGCCCTCAGCTTGACACCCCCCACTTTTACAATCTTGATGCCGCCACTGCATATTATATATGGATGCCCAACTGTTGTGCAGTTGTTACCTAGGTTCCCAAAGGCAAATGCGCTAGTGGCAATGACCGGGCCGAGATAGTGTGAGTGAGAACGAATAGTGCTGAATGTCAGTGACTGATGATTTTCATATTTTAATCAAAATATTCAAATTTCAAAATTATTACCCCGTGGTCATATGCTGTTTCCGCGTTTATTCCGATCGTAGATGGCGTATCGGTAGATCTTGCGGCGCCGTGACATTGAAAACAAGCCTCGTAAGAGAAATCATCCGATACTCCGTCCATCCGGTCGTATCTCAAGAATCACGCATGCACGCATGCACGTATGTACGCATACACGCATGCACGTATGTACGCATACACGCATGCACGCATATACACGCATACACGCATACACGCTGTCTAACAAAACAACGGGCGAGCTCCAGTGGCGTATCCAGAGAGACATGAGCTTTGCTGTTGAACCTGAGCGCTGCGCGCGGCTGAGACGCGCAGTTCCGCGGGATATGCGCACGCGCATAGTGTCAATCCTCGGCGCGCCTCGGCATCGTGGCCGCATCACGTCCAGTAATTGATAAACAGGTGAAATGTACCTGGGCTGCCGAAGGCAGGCCCGTGTGCCGTAGGCACGCCAGCGTTAGGGGGGTGTGGAGGCATGCTCCCCCAGAAAATTTTGAAATATTTAAGCCATTTTCCTGCAATGTGAGGCATACTGTGGGCCATATTCTGATGTCTGATGACACTATCTCAACCCAAGACTCAACCCTACAATTTAGGATTTAAAACACTTTTCATGACTTTCCAGAGAGCGTACACACCTGAGGTTAGGTTACTATAGTAAGTAGTAAGTAGGTTACTATAGGTTTTATTGGTTTTTTTTCTGGGCCTGCAAACAGGGGGGGGGGCGTACGCCGGCTCCGCCCTATGCTGAATACGCCACTGAGATCAACGCAATAAAGTGGCGAATATATATAACGCTGTTGAGTGTATGCCCTGCAGTCCCGTACCCAAGGGGATCCGGAACCCCCCACCCCCACCCCACCCATCAAACAATAAATATATGGTAAAAATATGTATAAATGTTTTTTAGGTCTTGTGGGCCTATTTTATAGTTGGGCTAGGTATATTTTATCCAGAATAAAACTGTTAAATGGCACCAGAATGCACCATTTGAAAGCAAATTTTCAAAATGTTCCCGGGGGGTCATGCCCCGAGCCCCCCGAACATCGCTTCGCACCTTCGGCGCTCGCAGTCACCCGCACACCTCTGATTTGGAACCCCCCTTAGGCCAATCCTGGGTACAGGCCTGCTCTGTATGTATTTTTCATTTCCGGACAAGGCAAGCGGTACCAATACGCACCGACACGCTGAATATAATAATTCTGTGCTGCTAGGCGTAACACCAGAAAAGGTAATTGGTTTATTGCAAAGTACCGAATAACCAGTGAAGACTTGCACGCGAGGCCAAGTTATTAGTGTAATAACTAAATAACTACTGTATAGGAAGAAATATCTACTTTATATTCTTCAGAAACACTCTAATAACATATCTTACATTAATTATATTATTAGAATTATATTATGCACAGACACACAGACGCAACAACACAGTCACACACTACACAACACCCACACACTCACAACACACACACACACAAAGCACACACACACACATCCACACACACATCACACACTACACACAACAACAACAACACAGCACACACACACACACACATATATATATATATATATATATACATATATATGTGTTTTAATTTATCACGACGACCACTATAATATGTTATGATGGGTCAATGACAGGTGTCTGTCCTACCACACATACGTGCAACCCGCGGTGATCCTTTCAAGGCCCCCGATAACTTGCACTTATAAGACGTGATTAGAATGTGACATAAGGGACCAGACCGAGCCTCGCGTGATGCCTAGGTCAGTGACAGCAGCCGTACTCGCTGTCTGGTGATGCTAGGGGAGAAGGGAGGGGACAGGAGGTTGACCACGTGACGTATACATAGTATCCAGAACTAACAATACATTGTATTATTACAATCAGGAATGAATAATTACAAAAATATTATTATATATATATATATATATATATATTATTTGTCATTATTCACTCCTGATACAATGTATTATTAGTTCTTGATAGTATTAGCTACGGCGTTTCGGCAACGAGGCAACTACCCCCGTCTGGTTACAAAAGTAAGCGACATGCGTAAACTTATAGAATATTGGCATGTCATCAGTGTTACACGTAAGTTAGTAATACTGTTAGCCAAATCTTGCCATTAGATTATATGTTGGCCGTCTGAACGTATAACACGACACGCGTCTTTTATTTACTGCAAACTGTAAATGTAGAATCAGAACTTATTGGTATTTATGGCAATGAACCCGAACACCACCCCCGATAACCACGCTACGTTAAAACGTCGAAGTGAATATAGGCAAGACGAATACGGAGGTAACACGACAAAGACGTCAATTAATGTTCGAAAAAAAACATCGCTTGAGAAGCCTAAAGATCCTTTAGTCTTTTGCAAGTGGGTGTGAGAGGGTAATTATACTCGGCATGTTATCATAACTTTTTTGCTATTCATTATGTTTTACTTATCATTTTAATCATTTGTCATATCATATTTTATCATATATTTTCTTTATGGCCCGTATGTATGTATTACATTTCATAAAACGTTAACAATACTTGAAGCAAACACATCATTTAATGTGAACAGCATTTAACATATTTATTTTGTTCCAAAAATCTTACAAACTGTGAGCTAAGCCTCGGTACCTTTAAAATTTACACGACTCCAGTAAACACACTAGTTATTTGAACAAGCACAAAAAGTTACAGTACTATGCTAAGATTATATAAAACGAGACGCCGAGAAAATTATAAATTACATACACACGGTACAACACTTCCCAGAGACGGTAAGTGCCTGTCTTTACTTAATATAATTTATTATTAAATACTGAATCAACGCGGTGTGTGTGTGTGTGTGTGTGTGTGTGTGTGTGTGTGTGTGTGTGTGTGTGCGTCGCGTGCGTGCCGTGCATGCGCGCGTTGCGTGGCGCGTGTGTGTCTTTGCGTATGTACGTGATGAAGCGTGTGTGTGTGTGTGTGTGTGTGTGGTGTTGTGTTGTCGTGTGTGTGTGTGTGTGTGTGCGTGCGGCCGTGGCGTGCAATGCGCGGCGTGCCGTGCGTGTGTGTGTGTCTTATGCGTAGTACGTGAGAGCGTGTGTTGTGTGTGTGTGTGTGTGTGGTGTTTGTGTGTGTGTGTTGTGTGTGTGTGTGTTGTGTGTTGTGTGTGCATGTGTGTGTGCAATGTGTGTGCGTGCGTGCGTGCGTGCGTGGCCGTGCGTGCGTGCGTGCAAATGCGTTGCTTGCGCGTGTGTGGTGTCTGGAGTATGTAACGTTGAGAGCGTGTGTGTGATTCTAGCTAATTAATGTTTGTAAATTAGCAAACATGTATACCCTTTACGTGACATCAAAACTGAAGATCGGTGAGGTGTTGAATATACAATAAGATCAGTGGTTTCTTTAAATCTTTTTTGAGGTCATGGACGCCCTTTGAGAGCTGTGAAAGCTAACAGACCGCCCTCCCCAGAAAAATGCACATAAGCACATAAAACACAAAATTTTGCATAAGAATAGTGGTCAGCGACCCCAATGAAGGCGCCATCCGGACTCCAAAGAGGTCCATGACCACAGTAACAACCCATACAATAGATCTTTCGCGTATAAGAAAACGGCGTATCAATAAACCTGAACTGGTGCATTGAATAATTAGATTCACGATTGTTCGAGCAGTAAAATTAAAGCAGGTAGGTTGCTGACTTGCTTTATGTAACATGCCAAGCAAATGCGTGAAAGGAACTCGTGTAAACCTTTCAGCTTATTGCTGGAATTCTATGAATTTCCAAAAAAA